GCTGCAGACTGAGCAGAGTCGGCAGAAGAGCTACGCCGACAGGAGGCGTTCGGACTTGGAGTTCCAGGTGGGCGACATCGTTCTTCTGAAAGTCTCACCTTGGAAAGGTGTCATCAGGTTCCGGAAGATGGGCAAATTGGGCCCCAGATTTATTGGTCCTTTCAGGGTTTTGGCCCGGGTGGGTCGGGTTGCTTATCGGTTAGATCTCCCTGAGGAGCTTAGTCAGATACACAACACCTTCCACGTGTCGCAGTTAAGGAAGTGTTTGGTGGATGAGACGGCAGTCGTTCCCTTAGAGGATATCCAGGTTGATAGCGGCCTGAATTATATTGAGAGGCCGGTCGCGATTCTGGAACGGAAGATCAAGACCTTGAGGAACAAGGTGATTCAGCTAGTAAAGGTGCAGTGGCAGCACCGGAAGGGGTCTGAATGGACGTGGGAGGCTGAGGAGGAGATGAGAGCGCACTACCCGGAAATTTTTGCAGATCCAGCCGTAGCAGACTTCGAGGACGAAGTCTGAGACAAGTTGGGGAGAATTGTAACAACCTGTTCCCGGTACGTTAATTCATTAGTAATTGTTGTAAGTTTTCAAGAGGGACTCGGCGAGTTCTAGCCTAACTCGCCGAGTAGGGTCGCGTCTTTGAGCACGCGTGAGCCGGGGACTCGGCGAGTCCATATCCCTGACTCGGCGAGTCCATCCGTCTGGGTGAAACCCTAAATCCCCGGGTTGCCCACTATTTAAACCACCTTATAGCCCCCATTCTCGCCTCCCTCACCCTGAGAACGCAGTGTTAGAACCCTAAACCTCCCATGAAGAGCTTATATGTGTTTTGGTGCCATTTTGTGAAGGTGTGAAGAAGGAGAAGAAGGAAGAAGCAAGGAGAAGTGTTGTAGTGCAAAGATCCAAGGCCAAATCAGAGTTAATTGAGGTATTTTCAGAGTTCCATCTTGTTATATGCTTTAAACTTCCATTAGAGCTCTCCTAAGAGCTAGTTGATGCTTGTTCCAAGCCTTACACTTGCATGAACGTCTTATTGAGTCGAAATATCTATGGATCTGAATGTTGGGGTGTTGTAGAGCCCAGATCTACTGTCTTTTTGGAGTTATATTGCATGTTATCCATAGATCTACCCATTTTATGCATCTTTTAGCCTTATTTCCCTTATTCATGAGGTGGTGCACGTAAAGTTGGAAACTTTATGTTGCAAATCAGCTTATTGGACCCAGATCTATCAATTGTATGCGTTGGATTCAAACAAAATCGAGTAAAAATCAGTTGCATGGCGGCAACTCGGCGAGTCGGGAAGAACGACTCGGCGAGTTGGGTCGCAAGTTCCCGATTCCTTCATTTTTACCAGTGTCGAGTGAACCCAGTGAGCTAGAGAGTGGACTCAGCGAGTTGAGGGTAATCTCAGTGATGGAGGGACTCGGCGAGTCCAAGGCAATCTCCTTAAGATCAAGAACAGCTCGTCGAGTTTGTTCATCCGGCTCGGCGAGTCGGATGAAGATTGTCTGAGTTCTTGGATCAAGAGGGTACTCGTCGAGTCGATGCCAGACTCGACGAGTAGCAGCGAGTAAGAGTGAAAAGTGAGAGTAGGACTCGGCGAGTTGGGTGGCCCAACTCGGCGAGTCAGCCCAAAAGAGAATTGACTTTGACCGAGGGTAAAAGAGTCATTTTACCCCAAGCACAGTGTTTAGTATTTGATTGAGTGTGTTTATGAACTTGTAGCCGAGGAGATTCAGGAGCAGCCGCCGTTAGCTTCCCGAGCCACACACTCAGCAGCCAGCTTACGAGGTGAGTTTCCTCCCAGTAGGGACGGGTCTAAGGCCATAATGCCGGCCCGTTCAGTTAGCAGTAGTTTCCGGATTTAGGTCCGATGCAGTAGCTTGTATGTTCGATGCCTTCGTGGCTCGAACAGGATTTGTGTGCTATGTTTTATGCGTTAAGTATTAAGTGTTCCGGGCTACGGCCCAATGTAGTATGTCGTATATGTGTTTATGCTAGTTGATGTGTTATGCTATGCCATGTTCAGTCAGTTAGTTCCGGACTTCGGTCCGATGCAGGGGACAAGGTCCCAGACAGTTCCGGACTTCGGTCCGATGCAGTTAGTTCTGGACTTCGGTCCGATGCAGGGGACAAGGTCCCGGTCAGTTCCGGACTTCGGTCCGATGCAGTTTCCGGGCTTCGGCCCGATGCAGTGGGCAAGGCCCAATATGTGTATATGTTATTGTATGGTATGTGGTAGTTTGGGGGAGCTCACTAAGCTTCGTGCTTACAGTTTCAGTTTTGGTTTCAGGTACTTCCGCAAGCAAAGGGAAGAGCTCGGGGTGACGACATCGTACACACCACAACTTTAGCTTTTAGCCTGGGATTGATTTAGTTTGTTTGATTTGCCGTAGTATGATACAGTTTCCGCACAGTGTTTTCTATTATGTTGGATTACGTCACGTATGGTTTTATTATATGACACTCTGATTATGGTTTTGATTATATCGAAAAACGAAATTTTTTTTGGGTCGTATTTTTGAGTCGTTTCAATTATGCAGCAAATATGTCTTGCATGAACGTAAAGATCGAAGCTTTACGTGACATTTGAGCCTTAGGAGACAAGATCTAGAGTTTGGAGTGGTAAATCTGCCTTCAAATGTCTGAATGAGAATACAAACTGAATGGACTCGCCGAGGCAATGAGCTAACTCAACGAGTCGGCTAGGGTTTTCCCCGATGAGTCTGGACATGGGTAACTTGACGAGTTGATGAGACAAATCGACGAGTTAAGTTAGGTTTTCACGACATTTTTGAAGGAACAATGGGGACTCAGTGAGTCACATAGATACACTCAGCGAGTCGGGTCAACATGGACTACTGACTCGAGTGTTGACTTCTGTTGACTTTAGGGTTTGGTCAAGGCAGGGATTATCGAGGCCATGGAGGGGTAAAATGGTCTTTTACCCATTCCAGGAGTTTAAGAGAGAGAATAACTTAGTTTATTTAGAGTCGTGATTTAAATGTTAATTAGAGATAATTATCTTATGTGTTAGGCAGAGGCTAATTTGAGATCCATATATGAGATTATTTACTTGCTTGCTTCCAAGGTGAGTCTTCTCACTATAGTTACCTAGAGTGGTAATGTTTGTGTGACCGGAGGGTCTTATGTATGTATATTGAGTATTGTGATATCCACATTATGTCTTTGTTATTTATGTTGTGTATTATTCTGAGCTTACAGAGTTAGGACCGGAGGGTTTACCCGAGTTGTGGAACTGGAGGGTCCTACTGAGACACATTGACCGGAGGATCTTATTTGAGCATAGCCATGAGAGGCTAATGAGATATGTGTGGTATTCTAGGGAACTCACTAAGCTTCGTGCTTACCGTGTTACGTGTTATGTGTTTCAGATACTTCTTCGAATCACAAGAAGGCAACGACTTGATTGTACACACGAGACCGAATTATGACTTATAAAGATCCTGGATTTTATTATTATTATTATTGATATGTGTTTTGATAACTTGATATTTTTTGGGAATTCTTTGATAGTGTTAATGAGATTAATGTGATTTTTAAATGAAAATTTTGTTTGAAAATTTACAGTGTTACAGAGAGAGGGGTAAGTTTAATTGAAAAAATAAAAAAACGGTTGAGAATGAGGAATCATTCTCAGCCAATCAATTATTTTTACCACAAAACGCTCTGTCGTAGTGGCGCGACGGAGGATGAATAATGTTCATATATGAATATAAATATAATTGTATTTATATATGAATTCACCATCTCCCCTCCTCCACCAACCACCACCACCACCACTGCCACCAACCATCATATCCAACTCCGTCATAACCACCGCATCCGCCACCAACCATCGCTACCTCCGACACTAACCACCGCCACCATATTCATATATGAATAGTCACTTCTTCTATACTTATTCAAATTTGCATATGATCTGTTCCATCGGCCCAATAAGCTGAAACGCTTAAGTGGAAGATTTCGAAATTAATGGTCCGGATTTATTCTCTCATTCTTAATCTTTTTGTTAGAGAGAGATAGTTATAGTGAAAACTAAACAAGGCTAAAAACTTAAAACTTTTTTCTATGAATATTTAAAAAAAAAAAAAAATACCCAAAATTTTAGGATAATGTGTCTAATAGATTTACGAAAAAAAATCAAGAAAAATAAACTTTTTTTTTGTGTGCGCTAATGCGTATGGACATATGTAGATCATATAATATATGCAATAAAAAAACACCCAAAAAAAAAAAAGACATTCATTAGAAAAACAAATATGAAGTCTTTTTTTTTTTTTTTTTTTCTCGCTTGCATATGTAAAACAAATTCATATATTTTTGGGTGTTGTAAGTGTTACATTGATATTATATTTTTGCAAAATATTATGTATAATTTTTTTTTTCTCGTTTTTAGTGGAGTTCTTCTCCGATTTTTCAAGTCTCATTATATATATATATATATATATATATATATATATATATATATATATATATATATATATATATATATATATATATATATATATATATGAAAAAGTGAATATACCCTTAAGGGTACATAAACTTAGGTACTCAAACTCACTATACTATGTCATTTTGTATCATATATATACATTGTAATTTTTCAATGTTCTTATAATTCAACTTTTAATTTGATTTACTTTTAAAATTTTTATAAATTTCACATTTTTCTTCTTCTCATATAATTGTCATTTTAAACTGTCATTTTAAACTATAGTATATATAGTTTAGTAGGTATTCGGCAAAAAGATATAGCTAGGGTTGAAGTTCAAAAACATTATAATGAATATATCAAACAAAATGACGCGTTATGATAGGTTTGGGTACGTAAGTTTATATACCCTTAAGGGTATATTCACATTTCTCATATATATATATATATATATATATATATATATATATATATATATATATATATATATATATATATATATATATATATATATATATGGGAAAAGTGAATATACCTTTAAAGGTATATAAGTTTACGTATCCAAACCTATCATAACGCGTCATTTTGTTTGATATATTCATTATAATGTGTTTGTGTGTGTGTGTGTGTGTATATATAGTGTGTGTGTGTGTTGTAGATACCTTGAACACATGAAAAGCATCTATCTGGATGCTCCTACTTGTATCCTGCATCAACAATGTCAATATTAATATCTCAGCTTTTATGTTTTTTAAATACAGAGCCACCAAGTAGCCAAATATGTAGACAATATCTTACCCTTAGAAGATTCATTAGAATGATCAAATTGTCTTTTGAACTGACATAGCGTCTCATAACGATAGAATTTGAACGATCAAGCATTATGCTTCCTAATAACTGTCAAGGTAAAAATAAAAAATAAAAAATCATTTGAATGAACATCAATATTCCCATGTAATGTTTTTACTATAAAAATAAAGTAACATACCTTAACAGCTTGTCTTTTAGTGATATAGTTTGATGATTTTAGTAGTTTCTCATTAAATTCTGTAAAAAACTAACCAAAACCATATAATGTTTTCCCAAAGTAACCACTAAAAATATTTGCCACACCATAAAAAAGATAGAAGATATGTTACCCAAGAATAGTTTTTGGATAGTGATTCGGATACAGTGGACTTATGCCTAGTCAATAGATCCTATGAGGAATCATAAACGATAATCAGTCAAACATATTGTTCTTTAAAATCACAATAGATGCAAGATTTTGTTAAGACAACTTCTTATCCATGTCTAACTAGTTAAAGCTTCATATGTATAATCCATATACTAGAACTAATGAAGTAGTGAGTGGTGTTACGTACTTATATCGAGCAGAACAATTCATAATTGTATCTCAAATAACCAACCTTGAAGGTATCGGTGGCATCTGCAGCAATATCGAAACTTGGAAGTTGTATGTAACCAAAAAGTTTCTTTAGTTGAATTGGTTCTAATATATAACTGCAAAAGAAACCTTATTGAATTATGGGAACAACAAGAGTTGAACATGGAGAAAAAAGAAAAATCATATAAGTAAAAGAGTTCTCTAACGGAAGTCCCAAGTCCCAACATGTTGCTTCCTTCTTGCCAATTGAAGTTATTCATCATATTGATATATACACGACTATTCAATTCTAATAATTTGTGTTTCTTACCTAGCAACAACTTGATGACGTAGGCACTCTTTTAACATCCTTCCATAATGGAGAGCTAATAAAGGATCTTCATAACTATTAGAATACAAGTTGTAAAGTTAATGTTAAAATTTTGATTACATGGAATTAACATAATCTAATCCTTGACAACAAATTTTTTTTTTACTCAAATCCTAGCATAAAATTAACAATAGATTTAAGCACAATTTAACATCATATCATAATAAAGAATAAAACAAAATTAAATTCTCTTGAGATTTTTCAAGATTACCTTAGGTAGCTACAATACTTGGAAAACATACCCGGATATTAGAATATCAACAAGATCTAGATTGGATTCTAAATATTTGGAAGCTTGGAAACGTGATGGCAAGGGTTGCCTTTGCAAACTTGCAACAACTTGGGTTGCATCTTTACGTGCCTATCACATAAGAGACTTTTTTTATAAAAGGATTTTCTAACATGTGCCCAAGGCACACATATAAGAAACATTAATTATAATAAATATTATCATAATTAAATATAAAATGCAACAATTAATAAGATTATTACCATAATTAAATGTGAGATATATTAATAATATTCATAATAAATACATTTCATATTTAATTATGATAATACTAGTTGTGAAACCCGTATATTATACATGTTAATTAAAACATAATGTTAAATATGAACGATTAAATGAGAAGTTTATTTGAATTTGAAATATATGAAATAAGTGAAAATTATGAAAAAAAAACATGAAAAAAATAAATCAATTAAAATTATGTGTTTTACTGTTAGACTCGTGTAGTAAACGGGTTATTATAATAAAATGTTAAATACAAAGGTTTAAAGTGTAAATTTATTTAAAATAGAAATTGAAATTTCAAATTTGAAGTTAATAGTTATTATAGTAGGTTTAATTTATGGAAATTAAATTAATGATATAGTGGAAATGAATAATGTAGTAATTGACAAGTGGAAAATAAATATATTTCAAAACTATGACAAAATGACATGTGGCCAATTAAATGAGAGAATGACAAGTGGCAATAAAATTTTCATTTATTATGGTAGATTTTTCGTAATTAATGTTTTCTTATATGTACCCTTAGAGCACATATTTTATAATATAAAGACAAAATTATAAACAAACTGAATTCATGATATATATTTGGTAAACCATAGAGACCATTTAAATACATTCTATTTTTTATATAATACGACTAAAATACATTCTATTTTATTTAAAAAAATATATGTCAAAAATGTTTTTTTAACAAACTTCAAAAATGGTCTTTATAGTTAACAAATGTTACGAATTTAGACCCTTTATATTTAAAATGACGAAAATGCTCTTACAACATTCAATCAAACTAAGGAAGTTAGTAAAAAGGGTCATCAGTGAAAGTTTTGCAAACCACACGGCCATTTGTATCAAAAAAATTAATAGCGACTGACTTTGTGATTTTTGACAAACCACAGGGACCATATTTATAATTTTGTCTAAAATAAGTCACATATGAAAATGAAACTACAAAGTCCATATATGCACAAATCGAAGCAATGGTTAGAATACGTACCTCCAAGTTCAACTTGGGAAGAAAGATAATGAGAAGACGCATTATGTCTTCTCTAAAGAATTGCTCAGTCAACTGTGCACATGCTTCCTCACAAGGCTCAGAGTTGTCATCACCATAGAGAATCAACTTTAACTCCTTAACTAATAAGTTCAATTCATCTGTTGTCTGAACATGATAATAACTTAATATATTCTCAAGTAATTTTTTTTTTTCATTATATATGACCACTACCTAAAAAGTAACAAAACAAGATAATAATACCTAATAGTCATTTATTATTATGAAAAGGCATAAACACACATCTTTTACTGTACCTAAAAAATACACATTTAAATGATTTAACAATTTAATAAGTTAAACATAAATGGTAATAAAAATTTAATTAGTTGAATAATTTTTTTTAAGGTATTGTAAATTGTATTTAATAAGTTAAACATAAATGGTAATAAAAATTTACTTGTGTCCAAGATCGAAGATGGAGTTTTGGAGGAAACTTTGTGCCATGATGTGGCCAAAGAAGGCCACGACGTGGAAATAGTTATTTGATTGCGTGATTTTTGGACCACCACAACATGGCCAAGGAAGGACACATATGGCAGCTGTTCAGGCCCAAACGCATGAATCTTTTAGGGTTCACTTCATATTTAAATCCCTATAATCCATTTTAGGGTTCCTTATCAGCCTCCATCTCCCTCAAGTTTTAGAAACCCTAACCCTAATTTCCCTTTCTGAGTTGTGAGTCTATTTTAGTGACTTTGGTTGCTTGTGAAGAAAAAAGAGGCTTTCGAAAGGATTATGGAGCTTCTTGGCTGAAGTGAAGATATCTTTTGGGCATCTCTGGACCTTTTGTAAGTGTCCAATTTCCTTTCTTTATGTCTCTTGGTGGTTAGATCTTTAATATTATTGTATGTCCCTCATGTTTGAGCAAGTTTCGGGGGAAGGAAATCATAAAATTGGCAACTTTATGACTCTGTTGAGTCCCAAGAGTATTATATGTTATGGATCTAGTCTTTGATAGAAGCTCTTGTCATTTGCTTAAGTTTTGGGTCTTTAGAGCTCAAATTAGACCTAAAATGGATCTTAGACATGTATTGGACATACATGTCTATAAAGCTTCTGCCTTTACGATAGATCTGGTATTAGAAACCCTTTTGGAGTAGTTGGGTTAAGGACATTTCCAGATTAAGGGCTTAATGGTTAAGATATTATGGGTTTCAGATTTATATGTACCTAGGGTTAGAGCAACACCAAATTGAGTAAGACTCAAAGCCCTAGTATAGATGAAAAGATAACTGATATGAGTCGGATACCTTAGGCTTCGGTTGTAGGGTCGATCATGTACGTTGTTGCATGTACTTACCCTGATGTGTCCTTGCCCTTGAGCATGGTCAGTTGTTATTAGGGAAATCCTGGTAAATCTCATTGTAAAATGGTTAAAAACGTTCTCAAGTATTTGCGAATGATGAAGGACATGCTTCTAGTCCTTGGTAGCAGTGATACATTGAGAGAGAGTGGATATAGTGACACCAACTTTCAGAACAGATAGAGATAAAATTCATTCTTAGTCGGGCTACGTGTTTGTTCTAAACGGTGGAGCAGTAACTTGGACGATTTCCAAACATGATATAGTGGTTGATTCAACCTGGGAATCAGAGTACATAACTTCAAGTGAAGCATTAAAGCAAGAAGTTTGGTTGAAGAACTTTATCGGAGATCTTGGAGTTGTCCCAAACATTCAAGAGCGAATGGTTATTTTCTATGATAATGAAGGAGTGGTTGCCTTGACTAGGAATCAACAAATCATGGAAAGTCTAGACATATCGACCATAAATTACCATTACATCATACGGTAGAAGAAGGCATCTCATCGTGAAGATAGTATCATTAAAAGATATTCGTACAGGTCATTTGATGAAGGCTCTGAGTAGGGTCAAGCACAGTTATCATGCAAGGAGCATTGATGTGAAAGATGATGTTAGTTTTTAGTAGTTAGATAGTTATTTTGAAATTTGTAAAAAAATGAATGTAATTGATTTTGGGTGATTAAATAATGGAGAATTATTTGTAAGTTTTCTTACTGCCTTTTGTCAATTTATTCTTGTGTTTCATTTTGCAAGTTTTACTTCCCGAATAATATGATTATTCAAATTCCACAGTCGGTTATAATTTTTGGAAGTAAGTAGTGAATTAAGACTGTCATGAATTGGATTGTAGATTTTCTAAGAGAGTTAGGCATAGCAATATAATTTATGTAATGTTCATGAGTACATAAAAATGGAGATTTAAGTATTAGATAAACCCACACTTAGAGAATTACTTCATGGATTCTATCACGAGTACTTATGAGACGATAATATCTTATGGAATTGAAACAGAGATATATGAGTTGTAATTTACAAGTCGGTTGTACATTGGTAAGACGTAAATGCATCAGTAACTTGATGTTATAAAACGTATTGTCATGCATGATTTGATGTGTAAAGGATGCAAGCATATGAGTCAAAGTTTATCTGTTCCTTTTTCCCTGACAAGAAAAGCGATATCTTTGAACCCCTCATTGATTTGCTGTTGACTTGTAGTACTGGGCCCAGCCAGGACTAAATTGTCGTGTTCAATTAGAAGTCCTGTATCATCACAAATAAGAAATTGGGAAACAAAGTGTTGGAAAATGAGATTGATTCGGTTACATGTCTCATGTACGAAAATATATCTTGCAGGACGTAGCATTATATGATTACTTATCTTAGTACGCATAGCTGACAGGGTCAACGTTCAACACAGGTTTTTGGAAGCTACAATTTGTTGATCAATTCAGAAGTTGTACTGCCAGTTATAGTTACATACTTATCCCAGTGGGAGACTGTTAGATTAGGTGTCTAAGCCCATAAGTATAATTGGTATATATATATATATTTGAATTAACAGTAACGCAATCCTTTTTGATTACCCTCAAACCTAGCAATTGAACATGATGACTTTTAGAGATATAAATATCAATTTATTATGTGATTGATAAATCAAAATAAATAATTTATTAATATATTATGAAAACAATATACTAATTAGAAAATATATTATTAAATTAATAATTGATCAGAAATTAATTAGAATTAATTATGGGATTCATAGAATTAACTAAATATGAAGGGTCTAAAGTGCAACTGTTCAATAGTTGAACAAAAAGCTCTAGAAGCTTCCACCATTAGGGTTGGATAGTTTTGAAGGGATATTCTAGGGTTTCTAGAATATCCCATATGGATAAATAATGAATGAGATAAATATCAGATTTAAAATATTAATTTAATAATCAAATCAGGATTATCTAAGGTTTCCTTAGACCATGATATAAAGACCCTTAACCCTAGCATTTTCGACCACTCATACTTCCATAGAGATAGCCAAAATTCTCCCATCTCCTCTCCTCTCTCCATAGTCTTCCTTCTTCTTAGTTTGGGTGTGAGCTATTAGAGGTAGGACATTTGTGGTGTTTTCTTCCAAGAGATCTACAAGTGAAGGATTCTTGTTATTTGCTACAATAACAACAAGTTATGTAAACCTAAACCCTATTTTGATTTTTCAAAATATACCTAGGTGTTCTTATTTGATGTTCTTAGTTATAGGTTTAATAGTGAAAACATAGATCCTTAGGTTGCATGTGAACTTAAGGGTTTTGAGTTTATTTGTTTTACCTAAATCCTATTAGTGGTATCAAAGCATTTTTTTTCAATTGATTTGCTATAATTGTAGAATATGATCAATTAGGGTTTATAGAAACTAAACCCTAAAAAGCCAAGAATTTTGACTAGGGTTAGAGTTTTTTGAAACCCCAACCCATTCCCCTTGGATTTCGTTAGGGTTACGGTTTTGAAACCCTAGCCTTCCTCCCCACGTTTTTTTTTGAAAATTGCTAAGGTTTTAAGGGTTTCCTATTATAGATAACTTTTAGTTTGATTTGATTAAAATTGATAATTATAAAATTGGATAACTCCTACACCCTAATTTTCAAAAAGTGGAGGGTTAGGATTATGTTTAAATTTTTTGATTTATTTAATTAGTTAATACTTATTTGATTTAATGTTTTTAATTAATAGATAACTAATAGATAAATATTAAATTAATTTTGGTTTATTTTAAATTTATATTAATTGATTATTAATTTTCAAAATTTAATAAACCTAGTATTTTGAAAAGTTTAAAATACACCTTATATTATTATTATTATTATTATTATTATTATTATTATTATTATTATTATTATTATTATATTCTATGTATAAGAATCAGTTAGTCAAATCACTAGTATGTCTCATTCACAAAGCTATTCTAGCAAGGGGTATAAGGAAACTACCTATAAAACAGTAGTTAAATGAGTGTTCACTCTCACCCACGAATTCCTTGATTAGTGAAAGGTCGTTACCAGAATGGATTTTATAGGATAACTAAATCTCATTAAAAGTATAACATTATTAAAAGTACTAGAATCCTATAATTAAAATCCTAAATCTAGTTACTTTAGGAAAAATGTGAATTAGTATGCTAACCCATAAAATTTCACATTACAATTTATAAATCGTTAGTGGAGCGTGTGTGGTTAACCAACATACTAATAAGGACTAATAAAGAGTTGTATTAGATATCTTATAAATTATCATTGTTGATAGAGCGTGTGTGGTTTACCAACACCTTAATTTGGAGGATACATGACAATGAGGTTACCAAACACATTTGGATGGCCCGGAAACCCTCGTTAGGGAAGTTCCCTTACCAAAAAAAAAAAAAAAACACATTTGGATGGTTATTCACACCTTATTTGTGATCATCGGTATCCCAGTCACAAATAGAAAAGTATAATCTGAGATTAAACATGACATTGCATAGGTTCAATGAATCTCAAAAGACTTAGGAATTTCAGTTAATTTCATTTGTTTTTTGGTGGAATTGGTAAATCATCATTTACATACCTTTATAAAACTTACAATTTGATTACGACATCCTTTTCCTAAGTTTTGAATTATATAGTTGGGTCCTAGACTTAATATTTTATTTTAGGTTACTATATTAAGGATTATTCTTCTTTAAGTAAAAACCTACATTATTTTATAGATGTCTACTCTAGCTGATGTTTCTGCTTCCTCCTCCTCCAACCACCATAACTTCTCATTGTTGTCAATATGCTCAAACATGAAATTAGATGGCACTAACTACAATGATTAGATGCCCAACATTAATGCCCCTTCATTTCAAGAACAAGGACTATGTCCTTGAGAAAGAACTAAATGAAATCGACGAATAGAAGGTCATTCCTAAAGAATTTTCTTGTATCACGGTCGCCACTATGACCCCGGAGTTGCAGAGATTTTATGAGGACTACTAGCCTTATGAGATCAACAAGGATCTTGTGGAAAATTTCCACAAGCGAGCTCGTCAAGAAAAATATGAAATGGTCAAAGCCCTAATAATATGAAAGATGAAAGAGGGAGAATCTGTTTGTAGTCACATACAGA